ATGAGTGCAAAAGGAAGAGTTAGTGTGTGAGAAAGTTGGGATTAGAAAGGGAAAATGGTGTACTTATATTATGGTAGAGCATGAGAGTTGGAGAAATTGGTTACGAGAGCTTACTGCTCTTGCACAAAGCCCAAATTCTGTATGCAGAACAACAACTTGCAACTTTAGTTCTAGGGGACTTGACACTGTCTTCTGGATTCTGGAGGTTCCTGAATGCATGTGGTACACATACACTCAAGCAGTCACACACACACACACACACACACACACACACACACACACACACACACACACATATATATATATATATATATCAAATAACATTTGGGGTAAGTTTCAAGACAGTGTTTCTCTGTGGTTTTGGAGGCTGTCCTGGAACTAGCTCTTATAGACCAGGCTGATATCAAACTCACAGAGATTCCCCCTGCCTCTGCCTCCCAAGTGCTGGGATTAAAAGTGTGCACCACCACTGCCTGGCAACAAATACATTTTTGTAAGACTAAAGATGTGGCTCAGTTAGTGGAATGATTGCTTTGCATGCATGAATCCTTGTATTAAAATTTCCACTACTAACTTTAAAAACTGAAACAAACAGAAAAAGAATGGCATGTTGATAGATACCTGTGATCCAGCACTTCTAAGGTAGAAACAAAACCATTAGTGAATATCAGACTTGGCAGTATCATACTTAGAGAATACACTGGAACTTGGAGTGATGGCTCTTTTTCACTTTACTGTATGGAGTTACACTAGTATAAATTAAAAGTGGATGTAAAATGATTGTATTATATAAGACATGAAATTTTGAAACATGTGACAAGGGACAGAAAAAATTCTATTCATTACAAGAAAACGCTTATTTAAGATTCGGAGAGCCACAAGTACTTAAAACTTGTAATAGAACTTCTAATTGTCCTGAATTGGTTCAAGACTCTATCATGAACTGGTCATATGTTATTGTACTGGTCACCTTGTTGTACTGGTCACCTTTTTATAGAAATACTTTTCCACATTCTGGATACTCAACTACTGTGCTATTGCACATTCCCTCTCAAATTCTTTCACTAGTTTCTTTTTGTTGGAGTCATCAGTGATTCCCAAAGTGGGTAGTAGTGAAAGTCTTTCTGTAATTACTTGAGATTTTTTTTTCCAAGCCAGGGTTTCTCTATAGTTTTTGGAGCCTGCCCTGGAATTCTCTCTGGCCTTGAACTCACAGAGATCTGATGGCAGATGTCATTCAGTAAATATGTTTCTCTTATTGGTTAATAAATAAAGAACTGTTGGCCAATAGGAAAGCAAGATAGGCGGGACTAGGAAACAAGCAGGAGAGAGGAAGAAGTAGGGAGGAGATTCAACATGTAGGATGAGGAGAACAGAACTCCGGCCCTCTCTCTGGTAAGATAATACCACTTGGAAATACTTAGATTAATATAAATGGGTTAGTATTTAAGACAGAGTTAGCTGATAAGAAACTACTAACAGGCCAACAGCTTTATATCTAATATAGAGTCTCTGTGTTATTTGAGGCTGGTGAACCTGAGGGACAAGGCTGGCAGGAAAACCTACTTGTAACAGAGTTCCACCAGCCTCTGCCTCCTGAGTGCTGGGATTAAGGTGTATGTCACCACCACCCAGTGATAATTCTTTTATGAGTATACTCTTCAGTACAGAAACGGGTCATTATCCCCACTTTCATCAGCAAAGTAGTAAAAAGAGTGTAGGGTCTAAATAGCATGCATGGAGCCCTTCTACTTGGTGGAAACTGCCCTATAGAGGAGTTGCTGCTGTAGAACCCAAGTCAAGATTCTGTGGCTGATGCCATCTTTTTTCATTATATTTTGAAATTATGTGTTTTTCACAATTTCATGAACATGTGTACTTTGTTCAAAATCTTCCCCTTTTTGAAAGAGTGTTTCTATAAATAACTCAGCTTGGCTTGGGACTTACTATAGAGTGCAGGCTGGCCTTGACTAGAAGCAATCCTCCTGCCTCGCTTTTGGCATGCTGGAATTGCAGGCATGTGCCAAAACACTAATTCTAGTGCTTTTCTTTGGTGGAAAGGGAGGGCCTCATACTGTAGAGCCAACTCTCTTAAAACTCACTATATGAGTTAAGGCGACCTCAAACTGAGCCCCCCTCTCCCCGCTCCTCTCATTCAGTGCCTCACTGTGTAGCTCCAGTGTTTCTACAATTTGTTGTGTAGGCCATGCTGGCCTAGAACTCATGGAGATCTATCTACCTGCCTCTGCCTCTGCCTCTGCCTCTGCCTCTGCCTCCTGAGTGCTGCCAGATATGGTGGTGCAGGCCTGTAATTCCAGCACCAGGATGTAGGAGTATCAGGAATTCAATGCTATTTTTTGCTTCACAGCATGTTCAAGGATTCCACCCAGAATTTTGTATTCACTAGTTAAGCATCCTGCCACTTAAGCCATATACATCCTTATTTCCGCTTATAGAAATTAAACTAATTTTATTTCTCTTTTGGGTGAGGTGTGTGTATGGAGGCACACATGTAGAGGTCAGAGGACAGCATGATGAGTTAGCTCTCTCTTCTGCCACATTAGTCCTTAGGATGTCTTTATTCATTGAATGGTCTTTCTGCCCCTCTTATGGACTTTCAAAACCTACCATATGTCAAAACCTGTCCTAGATTCATTTCTGTTGCTGTTATAAAATAGCCTGACAACCCTCCCTTAAAAAAACAAGGACAGAAAGGATTTATTTTAGGTTATAATTCCAGCTAGCTACATAATTTCCACAGTCAGAAATGAATGCAAATATCCACCCTTAATAAAACAAGTCAAATGTAATTTCCTCCAGGAGTACTCCACCCTCAACTCCGTAGCTTACAGAAATCCCCTGCTCTCTGATACCATAATGTTTACACACCCAGAAACATGATTTAGGAAAATTAAATGTGACGAAAAGAAAGAGAACTATGCCATGGGGACATATGCCATGGGAAGCTCAAAAGGCAAGTGTGAGAGTTCTGTTTATATAGATGGCAATAAAGACTAAAGCAAAGCAAAGCAAAACAAAACAAAAACACCTTGAGAGAGAATAGTACATGTCAGAGCCAGGGGAGTCCTGATGTCCTGACCCAGAGTTGCCTAGAAAGCACATTTTGGGCCCAAAGTCTACATGGCTCAGCCCAGACAGGAGGGTGGGGCTGGCCTTCCTACCAGCCTCATGTCCCCCAGGATGAGTCAACACAAGGCATCAACTCCAGTATTCAGTGGTTTGGGACAGAAGAATCAAAATTTTCTTCGAGATTGAGATCAGGTCTGGAACTTCCTTACTCATTTTGAGTAAAGGCCTGGAGTTACCAGTGGTTAAAGCACACTAATCGGTTTCAGCAGCAACCACCTAAAGTGCTGGTGTAGGAAGATTGCCAAAAGGATGAGATATAGCTATGAAAATGCGAAACACAAAACCTTAGCCTAACACCTTCCAGTGGTATTCTGACACCTGCAGGCTAAATAATGCCAATCTCATCTCTTATACAGTTACTCACATCCGGAAAGTCCATGTACAAAATCCTGTTTTCTGATTTTGTTAATCCATTAGATGATAACTGGGTTGTTGCCATGTCAGAATAGCCTCCCATGTTTATCAGAAAAACAATTACATTTCTTCTAGATTCATCTCACCAAAGTACTTCACAACCACAGATGCCTCCACAGGCATTCCATTCCCCTGCTTTAAGCTCCCATAGTTCTTTCTTTTTCATATTCCAGGTGGTGGTGGCACATGCCTTTAAGTCCAGCACTCAGGAGGAAGAGGCAGGTGGATCTCTGTGAGTTTGAGGCCAGCTTGATCAATAGGGCAAGTACTAGGACAGGCAGGCATACACAGAAAATCTCTGTCTCCAAAACAAACAAACAAACCACCAAACCACATGTGTTTGTAGAAGTCAAACACAGCATCCTCCAAAAGAAAGTGTGGATTTGTGGGCTCAGAGATGTGACTGTGGAATGACACACAACTCTGGAAAGGAGCAAAGTACCAAGAGTGCTGCACTTGCAATCCAGCTCCTGGCTTTGAGGAACCTTGGGATCTTGCATCATTTACTGTATTTCTGAAGGTCTCCATCTACCCATCCATTTGGCTTTACTGGGTTTTTTTTTTTGGCCATGCTGACAATCTAATTCAGAGCTTTGCACATGTTAACGCTGAACTATGATCTCAGGCCATAATCCACCTATTCAATGTGCAATAGGACTGAAATGTATATGTTGTTTCTTAGAGTTCTGACATTCATTTTATCATTTATTTATTTATTTATTTATTTATTTATTTATTTATTTATTTATTTATTTATTTTATATCCTGACCTCCATTTCCCCTCCTGCCTCTCCTCCCATTACTTTCCCCCTTGCCTCTGCCCTATTGTTAGGAGTCTCACAAATAGACAAAGTTATGCAACTGTCACATACACATAGAGGGTTTAGGTTGGTCCCATGCATGCTCCCTGGTTGTTGGTTCAGACTCTTTGAGTTCCTATGAGCCACGTTAGTTGTTTCTGTGTGTTTTTCTGTGATGTTCTTGAATCCCTGGCTCCTACAACCCTTCCTCCCTTTCTTCAACAGGATTCCCTGAGCTCAGCCTAATGTTTAGCTTTAGGTCTCTGGATCTGTTTTCATCAGTTACTGGGTGAAGGCTCTCTGATGACAATTGAGGTAGTCATCACTCTTCACAGTTCAAGCTATTATCTACTGTTGCTAGGAATCTTAGCTGGGGTCATCCTTGAAGACTCATGGAAGTTTCCCTTGCATTGGGTTTCTACCTGATCATCCAAAGCCCCCGCCCCCGTTTCTAGACATCTCTTTCAGTACTGTCCCCCTTCACCCACCCACCTGCAACCCAATCCATAAAGTTATCTATCCCCTTTGGACCCCAGTTTACCCAGGATATCTCTTCTATTTCCCATTCCTAGGGACATTCATGCCTTCCAACTTGAGCCCTCCTTGTTACCTAGCCTCTCCAACACTGTATGGTAACAAAATTTGAATTGCTTCACAAATTTGCTGTCATCCTTACATAAAGGCCATGCTAATCTGCTATGGATTGTTCCAATATTAGTATATGTGCTGTGGAAGTTAGCACTACAGTTCTGATAGTCTAAAATTATTCATTTTTTATTATATTAGCAAAGTGGGACCTAGGACCTTGCACATGCTAGGAAAGTATGCTATTGATAAGCTACATTCCAAAAACCCTGATATCATAGGATTTTTTTAATGTTGGGGGAAGAAGTAATAATACTTATAGATGAGAAGAAATACATAACTGTTTTAGTTAGGTTTTAATTGCTGTGATAAAAGGTCATGGTCAAAAGCAACTTGTGGACAAAAGGGTTATTTGGCTTACATATCCTAATCATAGTCCATTATAGAGTGAAGCCAAGGCAAGAACTCCAAAAGGACAAGGACTAAAGCAGAACCATGGAGGAACACTGCTTACTGGCTTGTTCAGCCAGCTTTCTCATACAGCTCAAGACCCTCTACACAGAGCTGGCATTACCCACAGTGGGATGGGCCTCTCCACATCAATCATTATTACCCCACAGCTCAGCCTGCAGACAATCTGATGGAGGCATTTTCCCAGTTGAGTTTATTTGCAGATAACTATGGCTTGGGTCAAAATGACAAAAAAACTAACCAGAACAATAATTAAGAACTAGCTTGCCTCCCCATAGTAGATATTTCAGATGTAACTGAAAAACATCTTGTGACATTTTCAGCAGAGTAAAAGGTCTATTATTTAAAACATTCTATCCAGAAGTCTACTTAGTGCTTTATAGGTCATCAAGCCCCTTCACAAATAATCCATTTTCTAGCAGACAGTGAAAGAAGCAGATAGAGCAGCATTTAATGGTTCACCTCAACTCACAGAATAGAAAAATGACAAAACGAAAGTGGTTATTCTAATAAGTGCTTGGACAACTTACAGTTTTGTTTTGTTTTAGGAGACATGGTCTTATGATGTATCCTAGGCAGGTCTTGAGCTCATGATACCCCCATCTCAAGATTCCTGACTGCTGAGGTTACAGGTGTGTTTTAAGATTCAAATGCTTTTATCCATTTTATGTCAGTTGACCAATCATTCAAATTTGCCTGTTGCATAGGATTTGAAAGTCTGTTTTCTGTTTGTTTGTTTTGAAATATGGTCTTATTAACAAAAAACCAGAGACAGATATTGGGTTAAAGCTGAAGACCAGAGAAGCAAAACATCCAGCCACTAGAGAGTTCTAGACCAAAGGGGCTATCCTGTCCTCAGACTGCATCTTCAGAATGTATCTGGTTCCATCAAACCTCAGAGTGCACTGAGCCCCTGTCTCCTCCCACCTTATATTCCTCTCTAATTCTGGGATTAAAGGTGTAGAATCCAAAGTGCTGAGATCACCTTTGTGCTAGCTCTGTTTCTCTTTTAGGTTGGATCTATAACTCAGGGTAGCCTTGCATTAACAGAGATATGTTTGCCTCTATCTCCTGAACTAAAGGTGTGTACCATCACTGTTTGGCCTCTGTGGCTAACTAGTCTGGCTGGCTTTGCACTCTGATCTTCATGCAAGCTTTATTTGTTAGAGCATAAACAAAATATTACCATAGTCTTATGTATCCCAGGCTGTCCTCCAACACACTATGTAACCTATAGTGACCTGATCCTCTTGCCATCTACCCACACACAACTGCCCTGTACCACCACACTATATTTATGCTGTAGTGAGTATAGGCCCAGGGCTTTGTGCATGCTAGGAAAACACTCTATAATTTCTGACATATGCCCAGCCAGACTTACAATTTTTATGTTAGAAAACTCACAGGTTAATTAGAAACCTTGTTCACCCTAGCCAAGAAGCTTGCCCTTCCAGTTCTCAGTCACTTTCAAAGTAAGGAACTGTAGTTAGGTAACAATAAAATCCTGCCATCTCTAACCCATGGGTCCTGCCCTACATGAGAACAGGTAGCTAACTCAGCCTCTACTTTTTCTCTGTCAGGCTGAATTACATCTTACTGTTTCTCTTGTTTTAGTGATTCGTTGCTATTGTTCATTTCACTAATGTGGGAAGTTCTATAAAATTAACAAAGCACACACTAATTAAATTAGAACCTTCTAATTTGAATGAAATCTGGGTACCAATATTCTTTTAAAAATACTTTAGGGTTTTTTTAGGTAGGAATAGGAACTACTAGCTGTTCCATTTTTTTAATTAGTTCTTCTAATTTTAAGCAGCGACCCTGAATAAATAAACTCCTCCCTTAGGCATGGGAGATAGTTAAGTAAGTAATGGTTTGCTGTGAAACCATAAGGAACTGAGTTCATATCCCCAATATAATATGTGTGCACCTGTAATCTCAGCACTGAGGTGGCAGACACGAGGACCCTTGGGGCTTGCTGGCTTGTAAGCTCCAGACTAAGTGAGAAAAACTAAGATGTAGTGTGATAGAAGAAGATAACTAATGTTGACTCCTGGCCTGAAATGTCCCCCCAAACACACACACGCACACACACACGCACACACACACACACCATTTTCTCTCCCTCCTTCTCTTTCTCTCCCATATGAAAAAGGATACATTTATACATGACCAATGAGAACACAAACTTATGCAGCCTCTATGTAATTTACCCTGAAGTTTCCTCAAAGAAACTAAAAGTATATCCACTGTATAATCCAACTATTCCACTCCTGGGTACTTACCCAAGAACTTTAAGACAAAGGGCACAGAGATACTTGCATATCAACTTTATTCACAACAGCGAAATTATGGAACCAACCTAGGTGTTCAACAACCAAATGGAAAAAAAACTTGGACCAATGAAATGTCTTAGCTTGTAAAGGCACTTGCAACCAAGCCTGAAAACTCAAGTTCAATCTCTGGAATGTACATGGTCAGACAGAACTCACTCCCACAAGTTGTCTACTAAGTTCCTCATGTGCACCATGGTACATGAACACAGGTGCACATGCATGTACTCCCACACCCATGCGTGTGAGCGCGAACGCACACACACACACACACACACACACACACACACACACACACACACACAAAATTTTAAAAATAAAGAAAAGAACTTGTGGTACATATATATTGTACAATTCAAGTTGATTTTTTTGGGAATTTCATCTATGACTACTGCATTTATAGCATTTCCTCCTGCTTGCTCTTCTTTCCAATTCCTTCTGTGTCCCCTACCCCATATTCCTCAAATTTATGGCCTCTTACTCTTTATTTATTGTTAACAATATATATACTATGTATATGCATATAAGTGTATAAACACCAAATGCTCACTTAGTGTTGCTCATATGTTTAGGGATGACCACTTGTCCCTGGAGAAGACTGATTCTCCATCTCTCAGCAGATTGTCTGTAGTTCTTCATCTAGGATCCTTGTGAGATTTTCCCTGTCTATGTTGGCATGCCAACTGATGTTATTGTTCAGCTCTTGCTTAGGCAGCCATATTACTGAGAGGTAAGGGCAAGGTTTCCCTGACATTTCTAGGAGACAATATTTCCCAGCATACTTCCTTGTACTCTGAATCTTAGAATCTTCATGCCCAGTCTGCTGGGGTGTTATCTAGTTTAGGTGTAGGGGTTATGTTGTATATGTATCAGTTGGCGCACCTCATAATCAGCTACTCTTTGCATTTTGATGAGTTATGGTTTCTATAATGGTCTTTGCTGCAAAAAGAAGCTTCTCTGATGAACAATGAAAAATACACTTCTCTGGCAGCAGCTCTGTATGACCTGCCTTTTGTAGCTAGAGTTGAGAATGTGGAGGTAGTATGGGGTATATGTATGTATGTATGTATGTATGCGTGTCTGTATATGTGTGTGTAAGTATATATACATGTACATGTATATATGTATATAAATATTGAAATCTAATAAAGTCTAAGGAGGATATGTTTACATAAAAACAATACTTTTAATAGATTTTTTGCATTAATTCCCCCCCACTCCTCCCCGCTCTCTGAAGATCTCTGCTTCTTGACTTGCCCAGCCTTCCAGCACACAAAACTTCCTCTAGACACTTAGGAAAGGCCCTTTGCAGAATGCAGAGCTCCTCCTCCTCCATTTTCCTGGCATCTTAAGGTGATCCCTTTCCCGTAATTATTGGCAATTTTGCAAAATAATTTTGGAAAGCATTCAAGATTCAAAGGACAAAGCAGCAATGAAATTCTAGACTTCCCTTCAAAGATATACAGCTCCCCTGGAATCACACACTCTAGGTCATCACTTACCTATCTTCAGCCTAATAATGAAACCAATTTTAAAATGACCCCAAAGGAAAGAAGAGTACAAGAGTCCCAAGTTCCTGCTAGATGCCAGGCATTTCTACAGGCCAGAGACTGTGGGAGAAGGGAATGGCCATTGGATCCAGGAAGTGGGGAAGGCCGGTTTTGAAGGGTTAGGGGTAGTAAGCCAGATTTACAGACTTACAGTGGCATTTGCTGTAACTCACTTAGGACCACAGAGCTTCATTCCTTAGCCCCTCTGTCCTTGCCTTCTTTAGGCAGGCAGTACAAGTCCACAACATTGTCAAAGCTCTGCCACAAAATTTAAGTGGGAAGGGATAAATAAGTCATCAATTAAATCCTTAATTCTTTTTATGTGCCTCTGATGAGGAGATGTTCACTGTTTACCTCCAGCCAGACATCTTACATAATTCCAGGTGGCTTGATTGTCTGCTCAGAGTCCTTTAATACAAAAACATAGTGTTTTTTGGGTTTTTTGGGGGGGTTTTCTCTATGTAGCCCTGGCTGCCCTGGAACTCACTCTATAGGCTGGGAAGTGGTCTGCCTCCCCTTCCAGAGTGCTGATGGTATTAAAGATGTGGGCCACCATGCTGGCTGAGCAATTTTATTTAAATTAAAATAAATTTCTAAAGATTTTTATCCTCCGTGCTTCTAGCTCCTTTGGCTTCCTGGCCTGATTTCCATTCTGACCCAGTCCACTTACTTTCCTCTGGATAGATTCCAATTTGTCATTACCTGCATGTCTTTTAATAAGCTGCATCCTAAAGAAATCTGCCTAATGTAGAAATGCACTGCTATGTCGCTTCCACTAATGATGTTTATTTTAAATACTGCAA